ACTCGACGATGTGAGAGATTCGTTACTCTTAATCTAGTGGATTTCAGGTAACCAACCCCCAGTCTTGATTAAGACTTAGCAGGGGAATAATTTTACAGTTGACAAAGGTGTTTTGTTGAACATGACAACTTAGAAGATTTGTTACTCTTAATCCAATGGATTCTAAGTAACCAACCCTTAGTCTTGATTAAGACTTAGCAGGGGAAGAATTTTACAGTTGACAAAAGTGTTTTGTTGAACATGACAACTTAGAAGATTTATTATTTATAATCTAATAAACCAACCCCTAGTTTTGAACAAGTGCAGGGAGGAAAGGGGTAGACAGAGCATATTACCTAGTGGGCCACTATCCGTGAAGTCGTTCAGTGACATTGGAGTATAACGACTATAATTGGAATAGAGGCATGTCATGTAGCAGGCCGTTATCTGAAGAGTTTGGCTATCAGAGGTAACTGTTAATGTGATAGCTTTGTGGACCCGCCATCCTATTGAAGATGATTGACTTCAGTGGTCGTAGTATCTTCCCCTTCTGACCGAGAAGATTGGGCTTGGTCCTGTTGCTCATGTTGATCCTGCTTACTTTGTTCTTCAGCTTTGATCCTGGTAATAATTTTTTAAGCATGTTCGCCTTGAGAGATTAGTTGTCTCCAGGAACAGTATTATGTAACCCTTATTTTTGCTAGAAGGTCGGTCTATAAGTTATGTCGGCAGGTCTCCACTAAGGTAGATTGTGTCATACCTGACGAACATCGAAGAGCCATGATTCGTAACCTCTTGACGAAAGCTTTGACAGGCTCGCTCTCTTCTTCTGCTTAGTGACGAGAAGGGTATGGATGGAGAGTTCTGTATCCTCTTCAAAGAATCTTAACATGAAGAGTCTCTCTAGATTCGTCCACTTTTGAATATATTCGACAGATAATTTTTTAAACCATTCAAAGGCAACTTTCTTGAGGGTACTAATGAACAATCAAGCCAATATAGCATTATTTGATATCACATTCCCAATCTGTAACTTGAAATAATAGATATGTTCATTCGGTGATCTCATGTCGTCAAAAATTTGTAGCGTCAGGACCTCAAACCTTGGAGGATAAGGGGATGCATCTCATTCGGCAGGATAGGGCCTAGCAACGCCCTCGTCTTGGAGCTCGCTTCTGTTAGCAATGACATTGAGGCGGGCTTCCAATTCTTCCATTTTGACAGACTGGAGATTCTACTCGTTCTCAGTCTCTCTTTCTTCATCAGAGGAAAATTCCATGTTGTGGACTTCTTGGTCAGAAGCAGCACCATCAACCACTTTTTTCTTCTATTTTCTTGTGTGAGGTCGGGATGAAGACGTTCGTCCTCTTCGGGAAGATTCTTGTCTTAGCGATGAATTTGTCTTCTGAGATTTGGCTCTATCGATCTGTAACGAATTGAGTCATCAGGATCCGGAGTTCATCGATGGCCTCCTGTTGTGCTTTGATCATGGCTTGTTGCTCATTAATTCTCCTCGCCAGATCTTCAGGGTTTCCCATCATAAGAGCAGAGCTCTCATGTTCTGTAAAAGAACTAGAGGATTGAGATTTTGGGATAGCTGAATGCTCACCATCGGAAGTAGTTCCTCTAGCCAATCTTTGATAATCGATAGGAGGTATGACTCCCCTTCAAGTTTGGGTATGTTGGTAGATTCCCTCGAACTCATTCAGTTTCTCTTTAAAGTTTGGAGACCAGGTCGTCTCTGACTCGTCAGAACTAGGGATTGATAATTTCCCTCTACCGATCATGTTAGAAGTAACTCCAAGGTATTCATCCTTTGAATTCTTCTTCCTATGCGAATGTCGTCGTTGGTTGGGCAAAGCAACGTTCATTAGTTGGCCGAACACCAATGGTTTGGTTGCATATGAGTAGTATTGACATTTTGAGATGACCGTAGGAATCAGTCGTTCACATTAGAATGAACAAATGACTTGTAGAACACACTCCTGAGAGTTGCGTTTTGGTTCTGGAATGCACTGTTGAAAGCTACGTTTTGACTGAATAACGCACTCTTGAGAGCTGCGTTTAATTTGGTTCATGCGAAGCTCTTCTTTGGGCTCATGAACGTGTGTCTCACATTTTATAGTAGAAACGCAGAGCTCAGAGTTGCGTTTTAGCTCACAAACGTGAAGCTAGCATTGGTTGAGAGATCGACTTTCTCGGAATTGTGCTCGTTGTCGAGATCTTCTTCTTCATCGAGCGGCATTCTTGTTGGCCTGTTTTAAGGTATTTGCAGCAATGTCGTCGACATTGACACAGTTGGTCACCGTGATGAGCCTTTTGTGACCCGATACCCATCGCTTTGGTGCGGGTACAGAACCTTCAACTCGGTAGATGAGTTTGGCCGAAGCTAAGTCTTCTCCTTCAGAGAGGGGACTGTATGAATAGTGCAACCCCCAGGGGAGATCGTTCTTTGACGAGTCGGCCATAACTGGAGTTTTAGTCTCCTTAGAGACTTTGTGGATCTTACGCATAGCCTTGGGGCTAAGGGATTCGGAGGAGAGTACCTCCTTATGCTTGGCTTGATCAAACTCGATGATCAGAGTTTCAATGGTCATTCCAGTGAGCTTGATGTCAGATTACGCCACCACTTCTTCCTTGGTGAAAAAGCTTATCCCCAGCAGAGTCATCATCTTTTGTTTGGTGGGAAATTTGTAAGAAGACAATTGAGAATATGAATTAGTATTATTCTCTCTGACAGACTCGGAAAAAGAATTAATCACAATCTCTCGATGCAATTTCTCTCTAACTGATTTAGAAAAAAAATTACACTCTTCTTAATCGGAATCCTAATTTATAAAAGAGAAGAAGATCGACGAAGATCCTCCCTTTTGTTTAAGTCTGAATTCTTCACGGTAGCGATGAGATGCCTCCCTCGAATGCTCGCATCAAGTTTGCTTCTCGTTGACGATCCGAACATCTTGTTTCACTGGAATATGGTTGATTCCTCTTGATTGACGTTAAGGAGAACTTCGTGGCAAGTTTAAAACTCTAAACGAGTTGATAACTCATAGCGAGTTTAAACTCTTGAAAAAGAGTTGATTTGAACCGAAAATGAGTTAATAAGCTAATTAAGGATAAAAGCTCCAAGAATTCTCTGTTGTCGATGATGCTCTTGGTCGAAGAATGTCGACCTCCTTTGTGCATTTTTGATACAAAAAGCTGATCCCTAGATCTCCAAATGCCCAAAGATCCACAGATGATCCACTGCAAGATCTTTTTTCCCATCCCAAAAGCCAGTCTTTAACTCAGTCGAGTTTGTTGAGATTTATAGGGGGATTAAGGGGTGTAACCGCCCCCTTAATTCACTCATAAGTGGGGGAGTGATCCCCTCAAATCGTGGAAACAGTTTTTGGAACCGTTCAGCTCACATTTGAGCAAGTCAAACACCAAAACTGGCGTTTTGAACATGAATTCTGCATCCTGAGCTCGGGACGCAGGGTTGGGATCCCTGTTGGCGGCTGGGAATGCAAAGGTTGTCCCGCACTTGGAACTAAGAACGCAGAGGTCGCACTGCGTTTTGAATCTGGAACGCAAAGGTCGCGCTGTGTTTTGAATATGAAACGCAGAGGCCACACTGCGTTTTGCTTCGGGGCGTGAACTCTGCATTCGAACGCAGAGTTTGCAAGCTGCGTTAGCGGCTGAGTTTGTGCTGCATTTTGAAGTTGAAGACGCACAAGTTGCGTTTCTTTGACTTTGGAACACAGCCGCAAGCTTTGCGTTTCAAGCTGAGAATGCGACCACGAGCTCTGCGTTTGGAGTTTGGGACGCAAATCCAACCCTTGCGTTCTGATTTTGGAACACCGGGAGGACCTCTGTGTTTTGGTCTTGGAACGCAGGGAGGACCTTTGTGTTTTGGTCTTGGAACGCAGGGAGGACCTCCATGTTCTGATTTGAAGAGACCATGTCAATTTGTAGTCTCTTTTGAGCATTTGCAAAGATTGTCATCTTGTAATCTTCGTCTTGACTCCTTGAAAATGTGAGATTCGTCAGATTGCAACTCTCATTATTGGTTGTAAAGACCATTGATCAGAGCTTTCATCGGTTGTCGTGAAGATCGTCAATTTGTAACATTCATCGATCTACGTGAAAGTCTTCAAATTATAGCCTTCTAGAAGTTGTTGAATTGTAACTTCCCTTGTTGATGTTTGATGGGGATAAACTATCTATTGTGATTTTTTTTTTTTGACATCCTACACACCTATAAACTCCCCCAAAAAAGAGTTAAAATTAAAATTTCGCATAGAACCTCTCTTATCATATTTTAAACTTATCATTTCTCTGGTTTGATTTTTGAAACTTGGGATGATCCAAATTTACTAGTCGGTAGAATAAATGGATAATGATAGTTCCAAATTTACTAGTCGGTAGAATAATTTACTAAGTTTAAACTGACTTTCGATCCTGTTTCCAATAATTATAGTCTATTAATTACTCTAAACCTCTAGATATGAATCTTTAAATACACGCACCTGAGAAATATAAAACATTAGATTATACCTTAAACACCTGCTAAAAGAGATATAGAGAAAATAGAAATAATCTCTTTTCAGATCTATGAAGCAAATAATAACTCCCACCTGCACCAAGATGCAACCTATTTTCTAAATAGAACAAAAAAAGAATACAAAAATTCCAACTGCAACATACGACTACTTAAAAATAGAAAAACTCCACATTTCTCAGCTCATTTTGAACTACTTTACCAAGTTCTGTATCCAGTTTTACTACTATCAACCAGACAGAATCTGCCTTTCCATAATAGCAACAATGGATTTGCTCATCATAAATTAATTAACCTAGTTACAAACTTCTAAATATCAAGCTATAAATGTTTGTGTACTTTTATAAAAAAAAATGTTTATGTGCATAAATAGTTGAGGAAAAGCAAACAGATGTCTAACCAACAAACACAAACAAGAGAGATGTTGTGTTTAATTGTCTTTGTCCAAGGCAACAGGCCGCCAGGAAATAATAAAAATACATGCAAAAAGCATGATGAATTGCTTTTACAAATTTTCACAATAGATGTTTGCTAGTTTACAATTAGCAAAATCGCATATAAATCTCGACAATTTTTTTTTTCAATTTTGTTCCGCTATTGTCCTCTCAAGCTTGATCTCCTCTTCTTCAATGATTGTCAGCTCCTTCATACACTCATTCAGTTTCTTCATGTTCAAGTCTTGTACGTGCTGGGGAGCTTTGTCTCTGTAACCAGCAGCAGTCACTATTTGAGTTAAGTCCGCTTGTCGCCTGCAAAAAATAGTGACCGAAAAAATTAGCAGATAAAAAGATTTCGGATGTAAACAAAACCTCCAGTAGATTATTGAAGAGACATTCAAGATCATGCAGAGAACAACATTGCAATGAAGTTTCATTCAATTATTATAGGTGAATTGAAATGGTAAAAGGTTGCTTAAAGTATTGTCGCAAATTGTTTCACTAAAGATTTTCTGGCAGCATTTTTAGTTAGCTAACAGCAAAAACAAGGCTTCAGAGGAAACAAGCTTTCACTCAATTCATTCTTGATCTTAGAATCAACATTATGAACTCATTCTCCCTCTACTTCTCACTTTTCTCAGATAAGCAGCTAAAACTGAATCTCTCAGCCTGTAATACCCTCAGCTCTCATTCGGAATGCTACCGACCTCTTCATGTCCCATGCTATATTTTGTGCTTTCTAAACTATGACAATGAATATGGGGAAACATATAAATTGTTCAGATCTAAGAGTGGAGGATCTGCTAATTTATCATTGTAAACAGAGGGTCACAAAAACTTTGCTCTTGGAATTATCAAATGGATCAACTCTTAAACTAGGAGACTTAGTTAACTGAACATTTTCATGGACAACAAATAGGTGTTTATTTTCTAAAGCTGTTCTTTAAGGGTAAAAAAAATTCCCTCAAATAAGAAAAATCTCACTATGTCCAGCTTAGTAGAGGATCTGCTAATTTATCATTGTAAACAGAGGGTCATGAAAACTTCGCTCTTGGAATTATCAAATGGATCAATTCTTAAGCTAAGAGACAAATAGATAATTGAACATTTTCATGGAAAACAAATAGGCGTTTATTTTCTAAAGTTGTTCTTTAAGAGAAAAAATTCCCTCAAATAAGAAAAATCTCACTAAGTCCAGCATAGTGGTCTCAAGACCAATTAGAAATACAAGAAGCCACCCACCCCCTACCTCCCCCCTACCCAAACAAAGGCAAAAAATTTTTTAAAAAAAAAATAAAGGACAAAAAAATACTGTAAACTTGTTACAGAAGTGTTATCACCTGTCTCAAAGTAAGCTATTAGATAGCTGAAATGTTTTATGGAAAACAAAGAGGTATTTAATTTCTAAAGTTGTTCTTTATAAAAACTTCTCTCAAATAAGGCACAACTCACTAAGGCTAACGTAATGGCTGAAATATTTCATGGAAAACAAATAGGTATTTAATTTCTAAAATTGTTCTTTATAAAAACTTCTCTCAAATAAGGAAAATCTCACTAAGTCTAACATAGTAGTCTAAACACCTATTAGAAATACAAGAAGCCATCCCACCCCCCTAGCTGCCCCCTACCCAAACAAAGGCAAAAAAAATATATAGAAAAAAGCACATTTGTTACAGAAGTGCTATCAGTTTTGGATGCCCATGTAATACGTGGATGTGCAAAGCGCCTATACCTAAGGTAACCCTTGTCTCTTTAATGTCAAACTTCTGTTTTATCCTCAAACTCTGACAGAAAAGGTTCTAGAAAAATAACAAAAACAAAATTTTCAAGTAGCATTCAATATGCTACAGAGAACATTCACAGATATTGACCAGTGGGAACTCACTTTTGTACTTCCTCTTTCATTTTCCTGAGCTTCTCTCGTTCAACTTCAGCATTAAGCTTTCCTTGGAGCTGTAGGTACATAGAGAGACTTTCATTTACGACATCAAAAGCACACCCACGCGGAACATCATCATCCCTGGATAAAACCTGCAAAAGTTCAAATAGGGCTCAGAAACAATACTCCATCAAAATTATAGACAAGAGAGATGCTCTACAAGCCATTACGGCCAAAACACCTTAATTTTGCAAGGAACCTGTCTTTAATTTGTATGGAAGGTCAGAAATTTTTTGTTTCAATGTCTGACTACTCTTCAGGGTACCGCTATCTAAAATTTCAACAATTTTGAATTAGAATATAGGAATTTCAACATCAATATCTTAAGTGAATATCAAAATTTCTAATGTTTTTTAAACATTATCAAGGATTTTTCACATGTATATAGTTACTATTCAAAGGAATCACCTATTTCACCTCGGCCTTTGACCACAAATCACCTTGTTTATCAAATTAAGTTAACTTTTTTTATCCACTACCCCCATGTGTGAATCCTGGCTCAGTTCCTCGCCACACAAATCATGAAGATAATCAGAATTTCCAAATATTAACAGTTTAAATTTATCTACTGCTTGCATAATGGCCAGACAGTAAAGCTATTAACATTTTATCAAAATTTCACTATAGACACATACATGAATGGAGGAATGCTTCAGGATGATGTTGTTCATCGAATCAAATAGGAATGGTTGAAATGGAGGAGTGCTTCAAGAGTATTAGGTGATCATAGAATATCTATGAGTCTGAAGATAAAATTCTATACGACAATTATAAGACAAACAATATTCTATGGCTCAGAATATTGGGTAATTAAAAAACATGTAACAGAAACAAGAAGCAAGAAGGTTACGATGGTCTTGTGAGTATACACTAAAATATATGATAAAAAATAAGTGCATCCATAGTAAATTAACTGTTGCTCCTATTGAGGATAAAATAAGAAAGAATCAACTAAGATGGTTTGGTTATGTATAACATAGACCTCTTAATGCACCGATTAGAAAAAGTGATAATATTATAAATAATAGAGGCAAAAAGATCTAGAGGTAGACCTAAGAGAACTCGGTTAAAAACAACGAAGAAGGATATGACAATGGTTAACTTGACGAAAATAAAGGCCAACTATCGAACGAAATGAAAGAATAGGCTTCATTTAGCCGACCCGAAACATTCAGGATAAAGGCTTTGTTGTTGTTGTCGTTGTCGTTGATGTTGTTGATCTAGTTGTTGTACACATAGGGGAAAAATAAAAAGGTTAAATCAGAAAGAAAAATAGGCTGCAAAATAGGCCCATGTACTACTCTACTCAGCAAAATCTCATGTCTATGGAAAATTATTGTAGTTATTTTATCTGTATGAGGTCATACCTTTAATGAAGATAGAGAAGCAAGAGTTACGATCTCAAACTCATAAGCTTTAATAAGTTTAGCAATATCATCTGCTCCACAAAGTGCAAAAGCTGCACGTCTGAGGAGAAAACAAAATGAGATTAAAGCATTTTCCAAAGAGATAAGTATCTCAAGATAACACTGCTAGCCAAAAAAAGAATGGATCGACTGACAAAACCCTGGATACCTCTCGTTCTTGTCACTTTGTGGGCGAATCGATCTAAGTTTTCTCACTGCAGAATTAACAACTTCCATGTCACTTTCAATTTGTTCATTGGTCCATGCCTGCAAATGTCATATAGCAACACAAAAAAAATTGAAACTTCAAATTTTTTTCATAGATTATCATTAAATGGTCATGGGGAAAAAATTCTGTAGATTCTCAAAGGAAGGTTATCAAACAGCATTTACATTTACAACTGAAGGGTATTCTGATATCATTATTGATTCTTTCCTCTCAGTTCCCTTTGCTTGGGGAAGTCGTTGCCACAGTTCCTCAGTAACAAAAGGCATAAATGGATGGAGTAGACGCAAACCAGTGTCCAGACATACCCACAGGGCATCCCTAGCAGCTGATCTTTCAGATTCGAACTTTGATTCGTCAAAGAAATAGGGCTTGATAGCTTCAATAAATACATCACAAAGTTGTAACTGCCACCATGCATATACTGCAGTAGATGCATCTGAGAATTTATATGCTTCTAGAGATGATACAGTTTTAGCTACAGCTTTGTTCAGGGAAGAAAGTATCCACTTGCAGATAGATGGCATTTGATCTACCGCAACTGCCGCAGGAGGAGCATAATTATCTCCTAGCTTACTCATAGCAAAACGTATAGCATTCCACAATTTATTACACCATTGTCTGTATCCAACCACCCTTAGAACATCCAGGTTTATTTTATCAGACTGCAGAAAACAAAGAAATCACTTAGTTTGTAGGTGTTAAACTATAGGCGAAAAGAAAACAAAAAAAATCATAAACTATAGGCGAAAAAAAGAAAAATAGAGGGTATAGGAAAGAACCTGGGCTGTATAGGAGATAAGAGCAAACCGGAGGGCATCAGCTCCACATTCAGCAATACCATCCTTGAAGTCCTTTTTCTGGCCTTCTTTAGCTATCTCCAGTTCTTTAGGGTCTAAATTGCCCTCCTCAAGCCGTTTGTGAAGGCCTTCTAGTGATATACCATTTATTACTTCAAGCGGATCAATAACATTACCAAGAGATTTGGACATCTTCCGACCATGGGCATCTCTGATCATAGGATGCAGGTAAACCTAAATATAAATATAAAAAAGCTTCAGCTAGCTCGTTTTGGCAAAACAAACCCCATAAGGGCTTTTGAACGCGTAAACGAATTTATATGCCACATGGATTAAAAGATTGAAGTAAATCATTAAATTAGTCATAGATGTTGATAGAACTAGCTTCAAACCAATCAAAGATTGACCCCAGTTTTAGGATGGGGAAACGTGCTTCCTCATAACAATGTTGTATAGAAATCGTCAAAAAGCTAATTTCTTAAGATAATCCAACTTCAAGCTTATTAACTAAGCCCCCACCCTACACACATCCACCCATATATATATATATATAAGATGCAGCTAGTTTTGCTAAATGAGCTACCAAGAGATCGCATGTGATGATGCTCGTCATTTTTATCACATCATAAGGTGTGGGCCTCACACTTCAATCCTTTGTAAACTCAGTTTGCTAAATGAACTACCACCTCACAGCCATAAAATCTTACCATGTATCCATGTATGTGTTGTTTGGGGTTGGGGGTGTTAGTGTGTCTATAAGCATGTATCTATCTATCCCTTCATCTGTATCTATATACGTACACACATACATGCACACACCCACATCAGATGTTGAGGAAATGAGCATGAGGTGGCAGTTCATAATACTAGATGAGATGCCAATCTATAGATTAACCATGAGGCTCCCTACTAGTCATATCAGAGAAGGGACTTCATTCCTATCTCAGTATCTCTTAGTAGCTTATTTTCTCTAAATGAGACAATCTCTCTCATACGCACATGCACACATATATAAAGTAATTGTTAAAGAATATATTATGGAGATCTATAATGTTATAGTTATATTAGTAATAATATATTTAGAGTATAAATTAGAGCTTTGGTGATTGAACGATATTATGAATGTAACTAAGAAAATATTGTGATTAGGTAATCGTGTTTAGTCTCACATTGACTACACAATAAATTGTTATTGTATCTCTATATAAAGGGGAATATTTATAGTTTTTAAAATATGAATGAGAATCTATAATATTTTATTAATTAAGATGGTATCATAGCCACGCAAACCCTAGCCTCCACAATACCCTAGATCCTCACAGACCCTAGTCCCCCAATCCCTCAACATCAAATTCCTCCCTCTGCCTTACAACCTCCCTTCTTTACTATGACCGATCACCGTGAGTAGTGTTGCGGTAATTGTTCACTATGAACAGTGCCGCAAATTCTTATCCGTCCTGTTTTCGATGGCCTTGTTGGTGATCAAGATTGTCATCATTTATAACAGTAGTCATCCTCAATGTATATGTTCTCACATCGTTTGTACCGCCTCGCTTTCCCTTTGTTCATCGTATACTCAACTTGTCGATTCATCACCTACTCAACTTGTCGACACCATCGCCATCACCACTTGTATTTTAGAAACCTTATATTTTAGAAACCTTGACCACCATTAGCTATCAGAAAAAAAGATTTTTTTGATTGAATCAGTATTTGGTTTGGAGTCTGGTTCAATGAAGGTTATTTTCTCGGCTTTATTTGTTTGATGGATCCCTAAAAAGGAATCATTTGTTTGGTTGATCCCTAGAGAGGATCGTTCTTTTGGTTAATCCGTGAAGAGAATTGTTTGTTTGGTTAATTCGTAAAGAGAGTAGTTTATTTGGTTGATATGTGAAGAGGGTCGTTTATTTGATGGATCTCTAGAGAGGATCGTTTTGCTCAGCGAATTCCTGGTGATGATAGTTTGTTTGGTAGTTCTCTGGTCGATCTGTGAGAAAGATGCGAGCATCGCATTTGGTAGATTTCAGTTCAGTTTGTTTGTGGTGAACATTCAATAAGAAGACTAACAAATAAAACAACTACAATGCAGAAGGTCTACAAAAAGATTTTACACATTTAAGTCGTGTCATAAATTATAGTGAGTACATCTTGTTTGTACAAACCGGACTGTTAATAAATACATCTCTACTGAGGGGAGTGTTGAGAATATAGTATAAAAAATCCATAATGTTATAATTATATTAGGATTATATAATATATATATATTATATATATATTATATATATATATATATATATATATTATATATATTATATATATATATATATATGGGAAAAGTGTACCTAAGGTGCCACCATAGGGTGCATCTAAGGATGCGCGATCTAGACCGTCCATTCAAAATATAGTGGGATAATCTCAGCCCTCTGTTTATTATGTAACTCCCCACGTTAATTAATTCCCCACCTTCCGCTAAAAAATTCCCAACCCCGAAAATTCCCAACCCCGATCGCCTCTATCACCGCCTGCCTTTCCCAACGAAAAAAAAGATTTATTCGATGCCTCTTATCTCCGGAGATCGCCGCCCACGCTAAGCCCCCGAGCCCTCGCCCGCGCTCAGCCCTCTAGCCCTCGCCCTCGCCCTCGAGATCAACCGCGCTCACCACCGCCGTCTCCTCTTCTGCGTCGGATCACGCCGCCGCTCAGCTTCGCCGCCTTCCGCCCGCGCTCACCACCGCCGCTGTAGTCAGGTCTGAGCCCTCCACATCTCCGGAGATCACCGCCGTCTCATTACACTGTTTCCCCTCACCATGCTGTAAGTTAATTATTCTTTCGTAAATTATGCTTTTCTGCGTCCTACATATAGTATTCATTTGTTTAAACATATTTGATATATTAATTTTCATCACTTTGAATGCGGTTCTTAGGCATTTCCTGTGCATTTGTATAAACCAGCATGCTTGTTAGGACACTACATTGGTGTTAATATAACGTTGCATGATCGCTCAACAAATCGCTCTTTCCTTACTCCCTGCAGATGAATGCTTTGGTTGCGCGCGCTTAGATGAACTTGAGGAATCTGCGCTCAAACAAATCCGCCTCTTTAGCCTTCACGTCCCCGCGTCGAGTAGAGGTTGCGTGCGCCTCGCCCTCTTCCTCAAGTTCAGCCCTTCACCACGCGCTCGTTGCGCTCGCCTCGAGCTCTCCTCAGACCACAATCCGCATCGCACACTCCAAAACCCTCAACGCGTCGCAGCAAATCCTCAGGTCTCCGCAAAGCCCTCAATGATAGTTAGAGAATTTTTATCTGTAATTCATGTTGATTTTGGGATATAAATTATGAATATGACAATAGTGTTAATATTGGGGCTTATATTTGAGTTTACATTTAGGGATAGGTTATTGTTAAATTGAATATGAACTTTAAATTTAGATGTGAACTATTGCATATTTATTTCATTTGAGAGTCGACATTGTATATTGAATTTGGTACACTTTGAGCTAACTATTCATTGTGGTTGATTTTAGTTTTTGAGTTTGGTATGAAAATTTTCTAGTGATTTGAAAGATCAACGTGATGACTAATTTTTTAAAAGATTTATTTAAACTTTTTATATGTGATAATTAGATAGCTTGTATGGACACTCCAACAATCTCCCACTGTGATATCAACAATGGAGAAGATGAAAACAAACAATAAGGGCTTGATCTGAAGGCGAGCAACCATGATCAACTATCTACGGCAAGTTTTTTTCTCAAGTGATAATACCCTATTATTTATAGTGTACTGCTATCTAATGACATATACCAAATATTTGTCTTTTAGCATGAACTGGGTTTTTTTAATAATTTTTGTTTCTCTATTTTTGTAGGCATCCGAGGCATGAAGGAGAATGTTTGATGGCCCTATTGGTGTCGAAAATAGGCGAAGGTAATCTTGTTGTTGATCCATATATCGCGGAAATGGAGTTTCTCTAGCTGCAGGAGGAAGTTATAATTTTTACAATGCATATGCCAGACTTAAGGGGATTTTGTATTCGCAAGGGTCATACAGCACGGTCGAGAAAGAAAAATGCAATCATATCTTAGAACCTTTGTAGTTGACAAAGAGTGCTTTAAATATTTAAAGATAAAAGAGAAGATGGTCGGAATATAATTCGAAAGTGTGATACAAGATGTGGATGGCAACGCAAGGATGTTATTGGACTTGATAGAAGTACTGAGAAATGGTTGGTGCGAAAGTTTAAAACGTTAATCATAATGGCCATATGTTAACCACCCCAATCTGGGTAAAGAAGCACTACTCGCATCGGACACTTCATCGATCTCGAGCGACAAAAAGGTTGATAGATACTCTTGACAACAAGGTTTACGGCCTTCTACGCATTTGTAAGGTTTTAGACGTTGTCCATGGAAATGAACAAGGCTCTTCACACGACAAAAGAATGCCAAGGTCATCTAAGAAGTAAACGGAAAAGAACAATTTTCGGCCATTGAGTGCGTGAAATAGTTCGTCAATTCAAGAGAAAAAGGTATCTGATCCTCAATTTTACTTAGCATAGATTTTAGAAAATGATGGGACGATGAGAAGTGTTTTTTGGATGGATGGTAGGGCGAGGACTTCTTACTTGCAATTTGGAGACGTTGTTTGTTTTGATGTTACATATAGAACAAACAATTTAAAATTACCGTTTGCACCATTTACGGGTGTTAACCATCACCGTTAAACCATCACCCGACAATCTATTCTATTTGGGTGTGCACATATTGGACCGATGAAATGGAGGGGACCTTTATATGGTTATTTAGCAATGGCTGAAATGTTATGTCAGGTATAGCACCATTAACAATCATACACTGATCAAGATAAAGCTATTTGTAGTGCAATTCACAAAAGTTTTTCCTCAAACTCGACATCGCTTTTGTTCTTGGCACCTTCATAAGGAATGCATTACAAAATATTTTCAATCATGCGTTATGATTTTGGTGATGAAGTTTCTATAGAAGTATTACAAATGATATTGGAGTAAATCAGAAGAAAAATTTGAAGCGCATGGGAAGGAAATGAGGATAAATATGGTGCAGATAAAAGGAGCTGGTTAGTTAATTTATACAATCACTCGAGATCATTGGGCTCCTGTGTATCTTAAAGATACTTTTACTGCAGGAATGACATCTACCATCAGCGGAGTGGGGGAATTAATGCTTTTTTTGATCACTTTGTTAATTCCAATACCG